TGCATTTTTAAAAGCCCCCCAATTCTCTCTTCCCTTGGCTCATCCTAACCTTAGAACTCTGGACCTTTTATTAATAGGGCTTTAGACTTCAGAGGGAAATTTAATTTGTCTGTTTTCATGCAAAAGTATCTCAGTACTTCTGGAATGTTCTACACCCCCTTCCTTCCCCTGCAGGAGGGTTCTTGTTTGTTTAGGGGATTTCCTGAATCAATCTCTCCTATTTTGCACCTTAAAGAAAGTCACAGTAGCCAGTTAACTTTTATTGTTTGCCAGCACACTGAGCCTGGTGTTTTGGGGGGTGGGGGGGTGAGGGGGAAGGTTTATTTTAAAAGTAACAAAAATTAACTATTAAGGGCACATTAAATATTAAAGGCATATAGATATATCAAGAGAGCGTGACTAAACAGCAATATTATCACAGACAGTAGAGAGGGGATCATTTATGGGTTCGTTCATTCATTCACTTATTTATTCATTCATTCATCTGTTTATTTTCAGTTGCTCTTCAGCCACAGTGGCTGTCTCTTTACTTGGCACTGGGGTTGCCTACCCTCAGGGAGCTCACAGTTTGGAGGAGACAGTCAAACAGGAAGCAAGCACAGCCAGCACATTAAGTTCTATGATGGCTGGGCACAGGGTGCTCTGTGGGGGCCCAAGGAGAGACCCCGGTCAGCTGTGGTTGGAGGCAGTCAGGAGAGGCTTCCTGGAGGAGGTGATGCCTGAGCTGTGTTTTAGGGGCACATTCCAAGCAGACCTGGGGCCAGCGTTGGCCAGTGGCTGGCAGACTGTACCAAGAAGTCTCCTGGAGGGGCGTTTCCTGGGTGAAATTGCTAATAGGAGTGTTAGAGTGGGAGCGGGTAGGTAACAGGCCATAGACTCAGAGCCCAATGCCTGGGTTTGAACCAGGCTCCTTCACTCACTCGTGAGGCCCTGGGCAAGTCCCTTCACCTCTCTGTACCTCAGCCTTCTTATCTGGAAAGTGGGGGTAGTAACAGCTGCTACTTAAGATCATTGGGAATAAAAATACGGCAACTTGGCACACAGTAAGCGCCATGTAAGTGTCTGTTGTTGTTACTATTTAATTTCTCAGAGCATCAGCTGCCTCATCTGTGAAATGGGGACATTAATAGTATCTACAATGGAATTAATCTAGATGGTCCACGTAAGGAATTTGATGCAGTGCCAGGCACAGTCAGTGCTCCCTAAATGTTCAGCGTTATTACTACTCTTGCCACCTCCTCTCTCACCTCTGACGCCCGATGGGCTCCTGGAGCCTGGGGGCCTCTGTGTCGAGGCTGCAGGAGCCTGGGCCCCCAGCCCAGCTGTCATGTCTGTTTATAGCCTCTGAGACCTTCGGGGCAGCAAGGCAGCTCTGGCCCGGAGCCTTGTCGGGCACTCCCAGCCGAAACCAAACACGCCTCCCGAGGACCAGCTGCAGACGTGTGTCCCTGTCACTTTGGGCGAACACTTGTCCATGGATTCTAGGCCTGGCCAGGCATCCGATCCCCTCCCTTCAAGCCCGAGCTAGGAGAAGGCAGCGGCTTTAGGGAGCTCAGGCAAACCAGGTTCAAATCCCAGCTCCCCCACTTTCTAACTGTGACCTTGGGCATGCCAGTTTGCATCGCAGGGCCTCAGTCTTCTCTCCTGTGAGATGGGTCCATGACAGGCCTGTTGAGAACAGTGGAAGGCAAAGTGAATGGCACACCATCAGCACCCTGTGTTCACCTTCAACACTGTCATTACCATTGCCGCCCTGTGCTTGTGCGGGTCTGACCCGGACACAGGACAGGAAGGCTCTGAGGCAGAGCTAGGTCCCCACGCCAGCCTGGGCCCCATGACCTCAGAGCTCCCTGCATTGCTGGGGTGTAGAGTTGCAGGGGGGATGGTACTCACGTCTTAAATTGCTCAGAATCGCTCTGTCATCTGTGGGCCACCAAGCGCTGCCCTGACTCAGGGTTCTTTCTTAGGCGGATGTGTCAGACACCCCAAAATACACGCAGGCATAATATTGTCTCCTTTCCCTGCCCCGTCGCTAGCTCCATTCTCTTTTCTGGATAAGAAGCTCACACCTACTCATTACAAAAAAGTTATTTTCGGGAACATATTCTTCCAACAGACATTTATTCAACAGTTACTCCAGGCCAGGCACGGTTCTGAGTTGCTGGGACACAGACTAAAGGCTGTAGATCAGGGGCCACATCCAGCCAGCCACCTCTTTGTCAATAAAGTTTTATTGGAACACAGCCACGCACACTCACATATTGCTTGCACTGCTTTCTTGGTAGTGGCAGAGTGGAGTGGCTGGGACATTGATGGGGTGGCCCATAAAGCCCCAAATATTTACTGCCTGGCCCTTTACAGAGAAAGCTTGCGGGGCTCTATTGCAGAGGAGCAAATAAAGATGGCGGGGTTGTTCTAACGCCCACCCGTGTGTGCATCTTGTCCACAGCATCCCTCAAACACCATGGGGTACACAGTGTCCCCAAAAGGTGGCAGCAAGAGAATGGGAAGGAGGCGGGCACTTACTGGGCCAGGCGCTGTGCTAGGAGCTGTCGTTGCATCTGTGCCCTGGGGTGACCACTGTTGCCTTACTGAAGCCCTATAACAGGGGTGGGCAACCTTTTTGTGAGTGCATGCGCCTTACTGAAGCCCTATAACGTCCCTGTGCATCAGAACGGGAGGCGAAGGTCACGCACAGCTTTCCACGGGCGCACGCTCGTTTAATGTCCCTGTGCATCAGAAAGGGAGGTGAAGGTCACGCACAGCTTTCCACGGGCGCACGCTCGTTTTGCTGGGCCACGTGTGCTTGCTCTGTTACGGGCAGTTCCACAGAAGCTGGGAAGAGGCACCCTCCCACTTCTGGGAGGAAGACAAGCTGCTCAGGAGAGGGTCCTGCCCCCTCACTAAGCGCCTGCTGGATGGGGAACAAAGATGATGGAGTGTCCCGACCTTGAAGGGTGCATCAGCAGTGATCCTACCCCCATCCTTAATGCCTGGCACATAGTAGGTGCTCAGCAAATATCTGTTGAGTTAATAACTTCTATGTCAAACTTTCCTGCACAGAGGTGAGTCCGGGTTAGGCAGGAAGAGTTCAGGAGGAGAAGAGAGCACCGTGGGTTGCCATGACGCTGGGTAGGAAGGATGGATAGGAAGAGAGACAGCACAAGCAAAGGCAAAGGCCGGGAATGTGTGAGGTTTGGGTGGGGTATGGCGAGTAGGTCAGGAGAGTGGGGTGGAGGGCTTGTTTGGGGCAGGGGTGGGAGTTGGGACTGGACAGGGAATTTTGGCTCAATTACAAGGGGTGTTGGATTTCAGCAGGAGGACAGTAGGGAGCCATAGAAGGTTTTTGAGCAAGAGATGGATGCTATGCGTATGCAGAATATGCCTCCTGACCTCAAATAGAACATAGAAATGGTCTTTCTGGAGTTGGGGCAAGGTTGCTGTCATCCCCTCGCCCCATCTCCCTCCATATTCCTCATCTCCTGGCCTCGGGTCATCAAAAGATGGTCTCTGGGAACACCCTTCAAACCTCAGGAGCCAAGGCCATTTGAGTTGTTACTGTGCCAGTGGCCGCCCAGGGGGTGGAGTTTGGTTTCTCCTTGACTGCTCCGTTTGTCCCAAATGAACAAGTTGCAAAGCCAGCAGTTCATTCACTTAATGGAGATCTATGAGCTCCCGCCGTCTGCCAGGCACGGGGTGGGCCCTGCAGCCAGATCTGAGGTAACCAGCATCTCCCCAAAAGCCCAGGCCGAGTGCAGCGACCAGGAACTGAGCAGGTGGTGACAGAACCAAGAGATCCAGGCCGTGTGGGCCCAGTGGTTACCAGTTTGAACTTGCAGGTCCAAGCCCCCTGCCCGGGTTTGAGTTCCACTCTGTCACTTCACCTCCTAAGCCTCAATGTTCTCATCTGTAAAATGGGGACTGTGTTAAGCTCCACCTCATAGGTTGCCAGGGGACTGCAGTTCATGAGGTGATATGTACACAGCTTGGTGAACACCAGGCACAAGTTCAATGCTCCAGGGATGCCGTACCGGGTGGTCTTGAGGGGGGAAGCACGGTGGCCATGGGAACCCTGGGTGGGGTGCATGTGGGGGGGGAACCCTGGGTGGGGTGCATGTGGGGGGTGCCCTAGCCAGACTGGTAAGTCCTGGGAGCATCCACAGTGGAGAGAAGTTGGGCCTGGCTGCAGTGCCGCTGGAGATGGGCACTGAGGAGGGTCGGGGAGCGCCCAGCAGAACCCTGCTTGCTGGGGAGGGTGGCCCCCTCGGCCCAGTTTGCCCGGCTTTAGCACCGACGGTCCTGCATGCCGTGATGTCTTGGGCAAACTTGCACGGTTGGTCACATAGTGCCCACCAAGACATCTAGACCCATCTCTGAGCGCAGTGGCGGGTTAAGCCCGGTGATATGTTGGGATTTGCGCC